AAGGTTAGTATTATAATACATATTATGTAATACTTTATATGGATGTGTTTATCTTTATATACTAATATATACATGAAATACAATTTTTATTTCAGGTATAGTTATAAAGGAGTTCCAGCTGCATTCAAGTGCTTCTTGAAGCAGAATGAAGTGGCCCCTGGTACTTTACTGCGCTATGATGGAAATAGGCTTCATGTCTTGTTCCACATGGCTGGGACAGCAACCAACCATGAAGTTCTGTTGAAGACATTTCTTGAACAGCAAAGATATTATTTCCTTAGACTTGAATTAAATAAATGGTTGTAATCCAGATTATATTAACATTTATTTCATTATGTTTAAATTTTATTGCAGTCTTTCAAACAACCCAGTTAGCCAGAACCTGATGAAAGGATTCTCCAAATGAGAAGTTCTGGTCCAGCTGCAGGGATTAGGCTTGATTGGCAAGCTCATCACGGGTCCTTGGATGACTTTGGTGTACAAGAATGCCCAGGGGAGAAGTCACAAGGGAATGGTGAATATAATTTTTTCTTTTTATAATTAGAAGTTGCAAATTTCTTCTTTAACATTACTTGTGAATTTTGCAGAGTGTGCTGTTCCAGACAGCCCTAGAAAACATCAAGAAGATGAAGCTGAACCCCAGTAGCTGCTAGGATGTTTTTGGACAAAAGATTGTGGCTAATACGGTTCACCAGTCTCATTTGGTGGAGAGGGACAATAGGCTCCTGCTTGATGTTATGAAACGGTAGATGTCCCCCTACTTGAATGGTAACCCTTCCGATGAAATTTTAAAGTGTACTCTGTCAGCTCCTGCCCACAACATCCATGCTGAGAGGACGCTGGGATTGGTGGACTTCTTGATGCGCCGAGCTCCAAATGCCACTGTGGGTTTTCTGGATTCCAAGGTGAAGGCAAAGCTGAACTCAACCCTTCACTGGCTGGAAAGGAAGTCAGAAGCAGAGCAGCAGAGGCTGATCAGCTTTGCCACAACCAGAGGTGCTAAGGTCAGGAAAGCATGTAGCTTGTATGAGGAGATTGACAGTGACATCATCTGGCGACTGGCTGAGGCACTTAAGAAAAGGGAGAAAAAGGGCTGTTCCCTTCTGGACAAGGAAGTACTGAAGGTTTTTTTTATCATGATCAGTTTTCAGGATAGATGCCAGACAGAAGCCTTAGAGAGACGGGCCTTGGCTGGCAAGGACTGCCGTTACTTCAGAAGGGATTTGGATAGGCTACCATCAAGCAAGAACAAGCCTGACCGTTTCACCATTAGCTACTGGGGAGGAGATGAGGACAGTTCAGAAGACTGAGATTCCTGTACTTCAGTGGGTATATAAAAATCACAAATTTACCTCGTTATTTATTGGTCATGACAACTGGGTAAAATAGTAAATAGTCTATTAGATTTAGCGAGAATAACTAAAGTAAAGTACTGTAATACTCAATTTAAATAGGAATATGTGGAATGGGCTTGAGGGCTGTTTGCATAGGTCATATATTCTTTATTGTAATTATGTATTATGTATTATTAATATTTTGTTTTAATATGTTTTGTTTATCATGGCCGGCAGTCCAAAAGCACCAATTTTAATTGTACCGGCAAATGAGGTTATGCCTGTGTGCAATATACGCACTGAAGTTTGGCATCTGCAAACTCAGCTAACATTTGCAAATGCCTTACACAACATTGCAGTTTAATTAATCCGGTACCTACAGGGTATTGATGGCAAAAGATGGTCATGTGGTGGTTGCAGGCAGCGCAGGTCTGCAAGAGACCAGTCATTTTTTGCACGCAGCCATCTATCGATCCAGAATAATTTACTGCTGGGCACATGATATGCCGCAAAAGCTTATTGCCCATGAAAGCGATGCTAGTGGTTGACTGGTGCAACTACATGAGAGAAGAATTTAGCAATTGGATGCAGCGGAACTGCAGAAACATGGGAGGGGGTGGGGGGAGGAAAGAGAGTTGGATGACCAGGGTGAGTTTATCATGGTAGAAATTGACACATCCAAATATTTCCATTGGAAATACCACCGTGGACAATGGCGAGAAGGTCACTGGGTCTTTGGTGGTATCGAGAGGGAGAGTAGCAGGTGTTATTTGACTGTGGTTCAGGACAAGTCAGCAGCCATGCTCCAGGCTTGCATTCAGCAGCATATCTTGCCTGGCACCCGTATAATTTCGGATGGCTGGGCTGCATACGCTTATATTTTGCAGTTAGGACATGAAATTTTTGAGCATTCTGTCATTGTCCATGAAGAAAATTTTGTGGACCCAGAGGACTCAGAAATTCACACACAGAACATAGAGAACATGTGGATACGGGCCAAGCGGAAGTTAAAAAGGCAGTTTGAAACCAGTCGACCCTTATTTCCGTCGTATTTGCAGGAACTTGCATGTCAAAAGTAGAAGAGTTGTTACCCAAAAAGGATCAAAACATGTCTATATATATATCCCTAGCGGAATCTACTGGAAGAATTACCGGAAGCAAATTTGCAGATTTGGGACAATGGGTGGTTAAATGCGGGGATATTCCACTCCTGGCTCAGGGACAGCTTCATCCCATCAGTACAATATGTTAAAAAGCCAGTCTTCCTGCTGGCAGATGGCCATACCAGCCATACATCGTTAGTTGAAACATCGGAGTTGTGTTCCAAAAATGGCATAATTTTGTATTGCCTGCTTGTACATGCTAGCCACCTGATTCAGCCACTCGATCATATTTTTAATAATTATTTTGATAAGTCAATTTTCTAATCTTTTTTATTACTATTTTCTTTGTGTTAATAATAAACTTAAAACCAACTACACGACTTTGTTATTTATATAGTAGTTAGTTTCGAATCGCGAGTTGAATTACCTCCCCTGACACACATTTTTATTCTGGGTTCGTTTTTTCCATTGTATTTTGGCACTGTTGCTAAAAATAGCGTTTGTGACAAAACATACGGGAAACTCGGTTTGGCGTCTGCTGTACTTGATAGAGCATTCAATGGCCAACAAGCAGCTGCAAAATTTTTTACGATCTAACATGATTATTGCGGAACTTACGTTAGATTTGTGAAAAGACATGTATATTTCTATAAAACTTTTATATTTATACTTCTACTTACACAGGTATTTTGATACCTGCAGTTGAGCCATCCATTTATCTTTTAAAATGTATCAGTATAATTTTTTTAACGTTTGTCAATCGGTCAGGACCATCTGCGCAAAAAACCTCACTCATCTGTTATAGAAAACACCAGCTGAAACAGCGTCGTTAGTTACTAACTACTAAGGGTCTTTAAGTTCACAGTATTTAATGGGCTAGGTTTCTGTTAATATTTCAGTTACCTATTACTGTTTTGAGTTTCAAATTGTTTTTATTCAAAGTTTGCATTTTTTTTGATGTATTAATTTGAAGACTTAACTTTACTAGTGTTTTAGTCAGTTAGTATCTTAAGTCTTAAACTACTCTTAGTCTTAAACTTAAGTTACTAAAAGTTAGTTATAGATAAAGATAAAATTAATATAGATTAGATCTTCTAGTCTACAGATCTACTTTTAACTTTGTGTTGTAATATGTCCTAGCTTAAAACTAAGATTATTGTAATTACTAATTAGTGCTAATTTGTTTATTTAGGCTAAGAAAACTAGTTCTTATAGTTACAGCTACTTAGGCCTAAATTGGCCTAAGTGTAATTGTGCTAGTTGTTTTCATACTTTTTTATAGGGCCTAGTTGATTAAAAAGTATGTTGTAAATAAAAGATAACTAGATCTTCATAGATTATATCAGTAGTCAATTTTATCTTTATTTTTGGAAACAAAATTAAAAAAAAAAACTGAATAAAAGATCCTGAAACAGAATTCTATGATCTTATAAAACTATCCACAAGATGCATTTTCATGGAAAAAAGGCCATATTTTTAGACTGTTTTTAGAAGGAGTAGGCAAAAAAGGAGGGTTAGTAAATATAAAGAGAGAGTTGGCTTTAAAATCCATTATAACAACATTTATGTTACTTCATCTAGAACCATCTCAAAAGTTCAAAAACAGAAGAAACAACTATCTCGTAACTGGAATGAAATTGTAACTAGAGAAACTCTGGCTGGCCCGACTACGCGCTTCGGAACGAACAATTTCATTTTGATTTTTTTTTAAAGAATGTTTTCGTGCATTTAATCAAATATGTAACCGAGTTGGCACTTAGTTTAACCATTTTTGAGTACTTCCCGCCAAAGGTTGCATAACTTACTCAACTTTGAGAGGAAAGCTGTATTTCAGAAAATCGAAGGTATGTTGACCATCATGTTGAACCTCCACAGAAGAATGGAGAACCCTAATGGATTAGTACATTATTTTTTAACTGTGCCAGGATTTTCTATAGTTGCTAACTGAATTCCTATAGTATTTAAATGCCAAATAGCACATTTTGTATAGTTTAAATTGTATCTTTCTCCATTATTTTTTTATTTGGGTGTTCGGATTTATGATTTTGTCGGTTTGCCTCATAACGACTATCAATATTATTTAATAGAAAAAGATCAATTTGGCCCATCTAATTGATGATAATAGGCATTATATGTAGAATCTAGTGTTTAATTGTAATATTCTTTATATCTAGACTATATCCCTTTCTTGTTTTTTTTATTCTTCAGTGTCAAAAGCTTTGAATAATTTTTTAAGAAACCAATTTAACAGCCCAAAAATCTTTCAATATGTCTGGTAAAATAAAAACCTTTCATAATGAAGACAAAATTAAGGCGGCGATGGAGAGTGTGAAAAATAGATCTATCTCAAGTTAGACAAGCTGCCAGAAGTTTTGGAATTCCACCTACAACCCTGCACGACAAGGTCCATGGGAAAAGCCCATTAGTCCTAAAAGAAAACACCCTCCTCACCAGCGAGGAGGAGACCAACCTGGAAAAATGGTTAATTAAGCTGGCCGATAGAGGCTTTGGTAAGACTAATGAAGAGGTGAGGGAAACAGCCCGGGTGATATGCCAATAGAGGATGGACAAAGAAGTAAAAATGCCAGGGTACAAGTGGTTTACAGGATTTCTTCGTCGCCATCCAAACCTGTCCCGGAGGACCCTGATGTCCTTAGGGAGAGAAAGGGCAGTTATACCCCCTCAAGCGGTTGAGAAATGGTTTAAAAACCTAAAGGGGTCTATTGCTGAGCAAGACAAAGCAATACTAGACAGCCCAGAAAGAATATTCAATGCTGATGAGACGGGGTTTTCCTTCGATGTTAAAAGAAAAATTGTCGCTTGCAAAGGGTCTAAACATGTGTACACTGTCTCATCCAATAACAAGACCCAAGTGACAGTCCTAGCGTGTGCCAGTGCCTCAGGTCAATATATCCAGCCTTTGTTAATTTTTCCTTACAAAAGGATACCCAACAAGAACCTGCTACAGGACTTTCCTGAGGCATACCTACAGGTTTCCGACAATGGCTGGATTACTGCCAGCATTTTTCACATATGGATAAGGGATTGCTTTTTACCATCTATTGTCAACATACCAAAGCCGGTTTTGTTGCTGGTCGATGGACATACGAGCCACACATCTCTTGTGGAAACACTGGAGCTCTGTGCTGAAAATGGCATAATCCTGTATTGCCTGCTGCCTCACGCTAGCCACCTCATTCAACCACTTGACCAGGCTTTCTTTGGTTCAATAAAACGTTCCTGGACGGATGCTGCTCGCCAACACACGTGGGCCACTGGTGAAGGAGTCAACCTTGAAAGCTTCGGGAAGGTGTTGAAACCTGTGTGGACAAAAGCCGCAACGCCAAGCAATGCATCACATAGTTTTAAGGCTGCGGGGATTTACCCATTCAACCCCGACAAAGTATTGATGTCCGGCAAATTCTGCCCAAGTGAAGTTTATTCGTCGGGTGATGCCCCATTAGCGGACCACTCACTTGAAGGCTAAAATCCCTCTGTGTCAACTGTCTTGTCTGATTCTCCACTCCCTTTACCATCTCACACCTCAGCAACTCTTTCCACCCCGATAAATTCTTTCACTGTCGTTCCTTCAGTTAGCGAAACATTCTAATTTCCTGATGAAAAGTGTTATAAAAAATTCCTCACACTTACAAATCTATTGCAAGCAAGTTTTGAGGTGGGACCTAAGCCACAACCAAGAGCAACAGTCACTGCCGACGACTTGTTCAAGCTACCACATACTGGAGGAAAAATTTACTATTTCCCCAGCAGTCGAACAATTAATGACTTCGACAGCAGAAGTACGGTTAAGTTACAGTTCTGAGAATGATACACCAACTGAGGAAATACAATTTGACACATTGGAATGTACACAATCAGCAAAGAACTTGAAACATCTGAAGGCAAAAAAAACTTTAGAAATGATTGTCGTAATTGCCAGAAAAAAAGAGTAACGTCAAAATTGTATAAAGACAAAATAAACTTACGTTCTTCGCTACAAAGCAGATCTATAATTTATGAAAACAGTTTTCTAAAACGCAAAATAACGTCTAAAATTTGTTTTCTAACATTGGTTTTTTTATAGTTTTTTAAAATGCACAAGTGTGACGTCGCACTAACTGAACCACCCTCCCCCTCATCTACACCGTCACAAAATTACGGACCCCCCCCCCCCCTAGGAGTGTGACGTCATTTATGGACGAACCCAAACTGAAAAGTCGGATTACCGCTAATAATCGGAAAAGTCACATCCCTGACTGAGGGATTGCACAAAAAAAGGCTAGATCTAGACTGTCAATCTTGGGCCTATTTAATATTATTTATTTAAAATTTAAAAGATTGATTTAAAGCTTCATAAGTAAAAGGGTGAAAACTATACTTATCTGTCTAGTCTAGGCCTATAGAGATGCAGATATTCATAGACTAGATAATCTAGATCTAAATCTAGAGTCCAGATCTATTGTTAGCTTTAGCATTGAAGTTGAAGACAAGCGGGAGCGTACTTCTGTCAGCGGATATGGACTAAATCTACGGCGTGGCTGGGTCTTTCTAACTTAAGACCGGAACTGGTTAGCCAGGAAGAAATATAAATTTTCGAATCAAATTATAACAATTCGGCTATTTGTTTCTACGCCTCGCAGCGAGATTTTAAAAAATACCAAGAGTACCCAAAAAAAAGGGACGATTAAAATAACATTTTAACTGATAATAGAATCAAATTAAGTAGTTTACTGTTAGCCATAAGCTATTAATAATATTATATAATAATGTAACTATGTTCAGGACAACATGTTACAGTTTCGAATGAACAATAACAAACTGCACGCTTCTTTGAAGAAAAATCACAGTTGAAAATAGGCTTTTTTTTGAGCTCGCCTACATCTTTTAGTCCTTTTTATCAGAGTTTACGATTTTAAATAACTTAACAATAGCGAAGTATTTTTTTTAAATATGTTTTTTTATGATCTAATTAAACTCTTCACCTTTGATTTTAAAAAATACTAGCTGGCAAGTACGAAAGCGATAAGTTAGGCCTACTTTACAACTCATGTAGTTTGCCAGGTCAAAGTGAATGAAATATGTCAAACGTGTTGTATTATATAAAAAAAAAATCATAAAAAACGTTTTAATAACAAGCTTTTATGTAATAATGCACTAAAATGTCAAACGTGTAGTATTATACAAGAGCACCAACGATAGGAGACAGTCAGGAAGGGATTATAATACATATAAATCTAGAGTTATTGCTCTTCTTTTAAATGGTATATTTTTTACTTCATATGTTAGGTTGGCTTCTGGAAATGTAGACAATAAATAATTGTTCCTTACTTTTGAGTTTAAGTTTATTATAGTCTACCAGCTGACAAGTCGCGCGTTGCTGCAATTTAAAAAAAAAACACAATTTAATTCAATATAAATCTATGTTTCCAGCTTTAAAAATAACGTATTTGCCGAATTTCACAAAGTACTTTTCTAGGACCGACTTGAATGAAACCCCACGTCTGAATGAGGTGCCGTACATAAGTCAGTATGGGGCACAGAGTTTCTTCCAGGCATCGCTTCGGGTTGAGCCCCTCCCCCCCCCCCCACCCGAAGAAAGTCTACCGCACCCCCCCCCCCCCGAAATAAATGGGATTGATATAGAAATATATACTTTTAACAGTGTCCGTCCCCCCCCCCCGAATACATCCAAATAGCAGTCTAATTCGTATACCTAGACTGTAAATAATTTGGCAACGCGGCTTAGAATGTGGTTTTTTTTTCCAACTCGGTTTGGCGTCCCCCTTATGTCGTCGCCCATGGGGTTCAGTATACCCCTCCTCCTCTAGCTACGCCTCTGAGGGCTAATATATCTGGGCTGTCAGAAGGATAAACATACAGACTTAAATAAAAGCTCATTAATAATCGGAAAAAAATGATTAATTTATGATTTTTTAATCAAGGGAAGCAACCTAGTAACATAAAATTATTTATTTTTTTATCAGTTATCTCTCTTTGTAAACAAACATACTGAAGTATTTAGTCTTCTTTTTTCCCCATTGTTTGGAACATTTAATAGGAGACTTTTTGTTCTACCGATGGGATAACTAATAATTTACAGCACATTAGTGAATACACGTTATTTTTTCTAATCAATTCTCCAAGACTCGCACAGCAATATATTACAAGCTGAGTGAAACGTCTAGAACTAAAAACCGAGTACAATGTAAAGTATTCAGTGTCGAGCTCCTCATCTAATTGACTCGTTAACAGTTTTTTTTTGTCAAAGCCCTTTTGATAGGTAGGTTATCTAATTTATCACTCTATTTATCTAAGATAATTAGAGTGATTAACTACACAAACCAGTATGGACTGACACAGTTAGTTTCTCGAGGTTTTACAATCACAACAACATTCGACAGTGAACTGACAAGCTTAGTTCATTGATGACAAGTGAAGCGTTGCACAGCTTGCTTGCTTGGAGTTTTAAAAGTTTGTAAAAAAAAAAAGAAAAGTATAGCACGAATTTCAAACTTCTCTTAAGAATTATATATATATATATATATATATATATATATATATATATATATATATATATATATATATATATATACAGTGGCGTGCAGACCTATGTAGATGCCCGGGGCAAACTCTAGCGGAAGATGCCCCCATAAATACTTATATATATATATATATATATATATATATATATATATATATATATATATATATATATATATATATATATATATATATATATATATATATATATATAAAAATTGTACTTATCTTAATTGAGATGAAAACGTTGACTACAGCCAGCTAAATCCAAATGGAGTAAATGGTTGGAACTTGGGGGGGGGGGGGGGGGGGGAGGGGTTGGAAAGGGGGGAGACAATTGCGGACGTGTCGTGGTGGGGAGGGGGGGGGCTGTGATGCACTACAAAAGAGTCTCATCCGGTATTGTATTACCACCCGGGACCGCAGGGACAAAAACGCTGTCCGTGTCTACAATTAGGGCGTCAGACACGCCTTTATTTATGGGATGTTTCTCTCTTGGCCTGTTTAGGAATTTCTATAGTGTAACTAATACAGGTGAGAGTGTGCATTGAACTAGAGATGTTTCAGATTTTTTCTCTAAACCACTTGGTCAAAACGTCAACTCTTTAAAGAGATGGGTGATGCTAGATACTCTCAAAGTATCTGAACCTTGAATATAACAGAAGTGTACCTTGTTTGGCTAAAGCTGCCAGCCCTAAAAAAACAACACTTCTACATCGGACTGTGTTTAAAAATCCACTATGCTATGTCAGACCCTTAATTTAGCTGTAAATTAAATTGTTCTTCTGGCTGCCTCTTTAAATTAAGCCATAGGCTATTAACCTCTTTTTGAAGTTGATATTTCAATTTGGAAGGATAAGCCTTTTGATACAAATCATTTAATTTAGCATATTTCGCGGTGTTTTGACTAGCCATTATTTCGCACACTTGTAGTCGCATTGACACTGTTATATTACTGAGTCCAACGTTGATGCTAGTGTGTATTAACGCCCCCCCCCCCTCCTGTCCCACACCTGAACAGGGACAGCGTGCTATGCCCCCCCCCCCCCTCCACCCTTCTCCCGTCTCACAACTGAACTGGGATGACCCCGTCTACCTAGAGACGTGCAGGCTAGGGGCAATGCAGGTCGCCTGGTATTTGACATGGGATGCACATGTGGGGAAACAGGTAATTGGATCCTATTGTATTCGAGGTTAAGCCAGGGCATAGACCCAAGCTGGGTGGTAGGCCAGAGAGATAGGACAGCTGAACGTTAGCTTCGCAAGGAAATATTTTTCTTTCACACTACCAAAAATAATGTTAGATTTAATGTGTGGACGTCCACATTGGACCAACCCCCCCCCCTCCCCCTGTCCACACGCGTCCACAAAAGTCAATTTTTTTCGGACCCCCCCCCCCCCCAGTGTGGACGTCATAAATGGATGACCTCTAATTAAGAAGTGTGAGACTTAAGGACAACTTTAGAATGAAGTTAACTCGGCCCGGCCCAGTGTATCAAAACAGTACGGACTTGAAAGTTTGTATTTAACCGTACACAAAAATCCAAATGGCCATGAATAAAGAATATCATTAGAATAAAAAAAAACCCAATAGGCTGTGTGCTTAATCAGTCTACGAATGCCGTTACGTCCACCATAATAAATAAGGATGCCCTACAAACATTATGCAATGAATAGAAACATAATAAAGATGCCCGATAAAATATAAAGCGAACAAGGGCATAATTACTGTGGGGATGCCATTTGTGACGGTAAAACCGTTTAGGCTTACATATATTTTATTCTTCCACCACCCTCTACCTGCTCTATTACTCTCCCCACCCCTCTACAACTATGTACATTCTTATCTTTCGTCCCCCTCACAGGCTCCTCTCTAGTTGGCTAGATTGTCCACGTGACACACCGCCAATGTTAAGGCATATAAGGGGATGCAACAAAGAAATCTCG